TTTTTTATATTCTTTTAACTTTGTTAATTGGGATTATTGTTCATCTGGAACTCATTCTTGTTTATAAAGTGGCAGAGACACATTTCTTATTCCAATATGAAAAGCCACTTGCCCCCACAGCACTTGTGGAACAATCCGTCTCTTCTCAGTGATTTGTAGTTCCACCTCTGCAGCAATAAATCCTGACTTGGTCCAGGGGGCCAACATTGCCTGGCCCCTGCTTGATTCTCCATTCTCAGTCCTTCCTGTCTTCCCATGCTCCTCCACCTGCAGACACACCAACTTCCTGTCCTTTGAACACACCCCGCGTTTTCAGTCTTGCCATTGCATTTACTCTTCCTGGAATGCTCTTCCCACAGTGTTCTACTTGGCTGCCTTCGTCTCATTACTCAGGTTTTAGCTCCAGAACTACATCCTCAGAGACCAATTCCCTGAGCCACCAGTTCTGTCTACTCATTGTCACTCGCTCTCCGATTATCCCTTTGCATTCTCTTCATAGTGCTTACTGCTGTCTGAGATTATCTTATTTACATGTTTACTGCAATAGCATACAATACTATACAGAAGTTAAAATTCTCTTTCTTTCCTTCTGCCTTCCTTCCTCTTTCTCTCTCTTTCTTTCTTTCTTTCTCTCTTTCCCTCTCTTTCCTTCCCTTCCTTCCTTCCTTCCTTCCTTCCTTCCTTCCTTCCTTCCTTCCTTCTTCCCTCCCTCCCTCCCTCCCTTCCTTCCTTCCTTCCTTCCTTCCCTCCCTCCCTCCCTCCCTCCCTCCTTCCTTCCTTCTTTCACCCAGGCTGGAGTGCAGTGGTGCTATCTTGGCTCACTGCAACTTCTGCCTCCCAGGTTCAAGCGATTCTCCTGCCTCAGCCTCCTGAGTAGCTGGGACTACAGATGTGCACCACCACACCCAGCTAATTTTTTATATTTTTAATAGAGTTGGGGTTTCACTATATTGGCCAGGCTGGTCTCAAACTCCTGACCTCATGATTTGCCTGCTTTGGTCTCTCAAAGTGCTGGGATTACAGGCGTGAGCCACCATGCCTGGCCAAAAATCTGTTTTTATATAGGTAGTATCTACCCTTTGAGAATATATCTAGATCCCACAGAGATGTTCTCTCATTTACCTCTGCATTTTCCAGTGCTTAAAACATAGTAGATCATCAGTGTTTGTTAAATGAATAACCAAGCTCCCATCTATTCATTCAAGTTTGTCAAGGGTACATTGTTTAGTATGATCCCACTTTTATTTAAAAGTCAAATATTCTACACATGGTTGTGTACATGTGATTGTGATTGGGCTTGTGTGTGTATTTATTGACACTAGCCTGTGAGTGATAGTTATCTTGAAAGCAGGAAATATACAGGTGTCAGTGGGTTTTATATTTCTGTGGAGTATATTTCTCTATCATTTGAGTTTTTACTGTGAATATTAGTACATCTATGATCTGAAAAAGGGAAAACCTAAAGATAAACTGAAAAAATCTGTAGGTCAACCCAGGAAGCTTAGTTGAATTATAACAATACAACTGATTTGACTCGTCCTCCATTTCTGGCTTTTGAAGCTGTCTCTCTGAAATTGGCAGCTTTGTTCTCTGGGCAGTCTGGCTGCAAATCCCAGTGGGTGGCAGGCCTACTAGCTTTTGGATCTTTTTGTTTCATGGGAATACGCATTTCAGAGCAGGAGTGAGGGGATGTGGAATATGGTGCACACGTGGGCTATAAGCAGATTTTTCTAATCTTTTAGCCGAGTGAAATGAGAGGAATTATTAGAAATGAAGAGAGATCACCCTGGGAGAGGGAAGAGAAGAGTTGCACCTGACACAGGTCTGACCACACATTTTGGCAGACAGGGTAATTTTTGAAAACTATTTATAAAGCATTCGACCCCATATAGAAAACAGTAGGTTTCCCTATAACCTTCAGTCATCACTTTTTAAGTTCGTCTCCTTGGAGATTTTCCCAAAGCTGTTGCTGGAGCTATCCAGACATTTTTAATCAGGAAAAGGGTAAAAGAAATCCTTAACCAGCTGTTTATAATCTTTCTCATAGTCAAATTGATGCTGTAAAACCTTCTAATTGGAAACCTGCATCTGAGAACAGGGAATACTCATATGCAAAATATCCATGGCCAGAGAACTCCTTGTCTAAAATAAACAAATCCAGGAAAAGGACCTGGATTGATTTTTATGTCACAGAAAATTAATCTTCCAAATGCCTGTCTCCCAATACTCCAAAACCACTCTGAAAAACCTTTAAAGAATATCACACTAATTCACTTTTCCTTATGATGTTTGGGAGATGTGTTATTTTGATTAAATGAGTATTTTATGATTTATATCACATATGTGTACTATAAAAACGTGCATGTTTACACTCACATTAAATAATTTTCTTGTCTTTATCTAGTAGATCAAATATAAATACCCTGCCCTCCACACCTGATGATCTTGACCCCACAGCCTGAGCTCTGGGTAGTTGCCTTCCTTTCTGTTTGGGGTTAACTTTCTTTCTTTCTTTCTTTCTTTCTTTTTTTTTTTTTTTTTTTGAGATGGAGTCTTGCACTGTCACCTGGGTTGGAGTGCAATGGCATGATCTCAGCTCACTGCAACCTCCACCTCCCAACCTCTCCTCCCTCAGCCTCCCAGGTAGCTGAGGTTACAGGCACCTGCCACTGTGCCCAGCTAATTATTTGTAATTTAAGTAAAGACAGGGTTTCACTATGTTGGCGGGGCTGGTCTCGAACACTTGACTTTATGATCCACCTGCCTCGGCCTCCTTAGTTTTGGGATTACAGGTGTGAGCCACTGCGCCCTGCCTGGGTGAACTTTCTTTCTGTTCCCTGTTGCATCTCATTCTAAGACCTTTTTTCAGACATTTCTTTTGTGAAATTCCTTTTTTCCTTGTCTGCCAACCTGTTCAAATCACTCCTTAAAAGCTCATTTTAAAATGTAGAGCTCAACACTCTATCTTTTCAAATTGAAATTATTTCAGATTGTTGTTTCAAAATTTTCAAAGAGTACAAAGTAACAAAACTGGCATAAAGAATTGTATAAAGTAGCAAGTGAAAGGCCATTAGAATTCAATTCCCTAGAGTTAGTCACTGTTCAGATTGGTAAACTCATTCAGAATTTAAGAAGCTTCTAGCCTATTTCTCCAGTTTATAGAGAAATAAACTATTCTTTCCTGGAAATCATGAAACTTCACTTTTAAATTATTTGTTCATATCACTATTTAAATATTCAGTTTCATATATAACCAAATACTATGATAACAAAGCTAAGTGAGTTAAATGCATGCTTTTAGAGTTTTAACCATTTTCATAAATATGTGCTTGTAATAGCAACAGTACAGATTGTATTACAATCTGCCTATTATGTAGTTTTTCTGGTCTGGATGAGAATATAAATTTTCTGCTGTAATTATTTTCATGTCTAGACTGCCTTCCTTCAGAAGAGAGATCACATTTCTAACTTCCTGTCTTGAATAACCCATAGTGCCTAGCCAGTGTTCTTCAGACTTTTGTTTGGTAGTAAATATAAATGGCTTTTCCACATCACATACTATCATTTGGAATATTTTTCATATGTAAGTTGACTAAGTAGTATGTATGATTTCGTCAGGAAATACCTATGGATTATACCATGCAAGTAATATTTTAGATACAATGCGAAGGAAATTGGGAGTTGAGAAATGAAAGACTTATCTCTTCTAAGGGAAATGAAAAGCTACCTGTGGCAGATCAGATTAAAAACAAAAACAAAACTCCCAAGTATGGTGCAACAGTGTGAAACACAGAGCTGGTTACAGTGAATTGTATCGATCGAGAGAACTTTGACCTCATCTTCTACAACTCACTTCCCTACATCCACACAGGCTGGAGCACTTTTTCCTCTCATCTGTCCATCCCAGAGACAGGCATGCACACATGCACACATAGGCATGCTCAAACACACACACACACACACACACACACACACACACACACTCACTCTTGAACTCTGACCTTTCATGTGGTGCTGTCTGAAAAGCCTCCCCTGACACACAAAAGCCCCCCATTTATTCAAGCACAGGAGCCTTTATTTTGCACACCTGAAGCCTTCTTCACTTTCTGCTGTTACAGCCCTTAAGCCTGGATTAGAACTGCCAGGCACTAGTATCCCATCAAAGTTGAATATTGTGAGATCTGAGGATATCTGTCTTGTTCATAATTTTTACCTAATACAATGGTAACCCCATTAACCAAGCCAGAACCTTGGAATGGATTCTTGCCGATCACCAATCTTGCACTCCCAAATTTCAATGAGTCCTCAATTCTTGTTGATGCTTCCTTCTAATATCTCCCAAATCCATCTACTTCTTTCCATCCAGGTCGCCATGTCCCTAGTTATGGTCATCATTTCCCTTAGCCTCCGTTGCTGTGACAGCTTCTGTCCCATCTCCCTTCCTCCAGCATTGCTACCTTCAAATCCATTCTCTATCCTGAACCCAGAGCTGTTTCTCAAAGGCAAAACCAGGTTTAGAAAACCCTTCCCGTGCCGGTGTCATCTTTGTCATTCTCAGCCACAGTGGTTTTCTTGCAGCTTTCTTCATACTGGAATCTTTCATACATTCTCTCACCTCTAGATTTTTTCACACTTGGAATAATGACTGAGGATCATATATCTTAGTCATAGGTACAGCTGGGGAAATGAGACCTCTCAATATGGCTTCAATGTCAACTTCTGATACTCAGCAACACAGCATGCTCCTGTTGAGTACCCAATCATCTATTTGCTTCAAGAAGTAATGAAAACCTCTCAGCATGGGCATCCTCAGGAAGGTGACTCACTGACATAAATTTCTTCAAGATGACCTCAAAGGAGTGCTTTCAAATACAGGATATGATTGGGTTTCAGGATGAAGGCTGTATAAACTTGCCTCCCAGCAACACTAGAAAATGTATTTACACTACCTCCTGTTACATGGTCCTATAATTCCTAAGAATCTCATGCCGGCTGCCAAAAGATATAGTAAAGGGTCCCAACCTTTCACCTCACAGAACAGATCATATTGTGTTTTTTAAAAAAAGTCACCATTCCCAATGTTACACAAAATAGTATACTGCAGCATCAAACCCTCTGTGTCTGTAATTTATCCTTAGGGAAGATTAACCCTCCAGAGGGAATTATTCTATGGGAAATCACCTTAAATCCTACCCAAAGCAGTTAGAACCATGCTATAGGCTAAGCAGAGACAAAACATTACTTACCCAACTCACTGCCTGGTAATTCTATTAATTCATGACTCAACTTATTCTGCCACTCTGTCGCTACTCTTTGAATTTCCTTTTCTCCCAATCTTCTCTTTGACCTCCTCAACCTCAGATGGTGACTTTGCTTCTTATTTCAAGGAGACTATGCAAGTAATGAGATCTCATTTTCTTCCTCCTGCCATCCAATCCAGTAATCCATTCTCAGTTGCTTCCTGGCTCTGCCTGCCCTCCTGACATTGCAGATGAACTGCAGTTCTGTTATTCTAAGGCCAATTCTTCCATTTGTATAAGAATCTCCCCCACTCCCCTCCACTCATAAATTTGTTCCTGAGTATGGGCTCTCTCTCACAGTCAGCTGAACTCGATAATTCCTATTAGACTATAATCAAGCTGCAGTACCTTCTTAACTATTAAATTTTTCTGGTCTCATTTATAGCAAAACTCCTTTAAAAATGGCTACACATACTTGCTGTCCCCCGTTGTCATCTCCCATTCTCTCTTGACACACTCCATTGCAACTGGATTTTTCAGTCATCAGGAACCTTCAGTTGTCAAATCAAATGTTTCCGATTTCCATCCTCATCTCACTCCACCTGACAAGACTTCCTTTATTGGCTTCATGGCTTTCTTTTACCCACATGGTGACTTCTTCTTCATGTTTTGTACGCTTCCTCCTCACACCCCCAGGATTTCTGTAAATGTCATGGTGCCCCAGGACTCCATCTCAACCTTGTTCTCATCTCTTTTCTATTCTTGTCTCTTGGCCTCTTTTCCTCTTGCCTCCTCTCTTCATCCACACTCACTCCCTAAGTCATGGCCTTCAATATTGTCTCTGTACTCATACATCTTGCCTGAGCTCTGGGTTTATTTATCCAACTGCCCATTTGACATCTGCTGGGAGGTCTAATAAGCATCTCAAATTTCACATATCTGGACTCAACCCTAGGTATTTCCTCCAAGACATGCTCCTTACTAAGTCCTGTTCCTTCAATTACTTAAGCCAAAATTTCCTCTTTCTTTCGCACTCCTCACCTGATCCATAATGATAACCTGCTAACTGCATTTCCAAATAAACCCTCAAACCAACCGTTCCTCAAGTCTAACTACTACCACGCAATCCCAGCCATACTTCTCTGTTATTGGAAAAGAAACAGCCTTCTACGTAGTCTCCTTGCTTGCTTCTGTTCCACCTTGTCTATAATCTATTCTTCAACAAAAGCTAAGCTGATCTTTTTTTTTTCTCCTGTCACTCACTCTCTTAGGCTGGAGTGCAGTGACAAAATTATAGCTCACTGCATCCTCCAACTCCTGGGCTCAAGTGGTCCCCCCACATCAGCCTCGCTAGTAGCTGCACTACAGGTGCACACTATTGCACCTGCTAATTTTTTTTACATTTTTTGTAGAGATAGGATCTTGCTACGTTGCCCAGACTGGTCTCAAAATCTTGGTGTCAAGTGATCCTCCTGCCTTGGTCTCCCTAAGTGCTGGGATTACAGATGTGAGCCACTGTGCCTGGCCAAAACTGATATTTTAAAAAACATAAATCAAATTATGTTACTTTCATACTCAAAACCCACCACTGGCTGCCCACCACTCTTAGAATAAAATCCCAAATCCTGACTCTGGCCATGAAGGTGCTATACCATCTTTCTCTCTGGCCTAATTTTCTTTTTTAAAAAATTCAATTTAAATTATTTGTAATAAAGTAATTATAAATTCATATTTAATTATAATAATTTAATTATACTTTCAGTTCTGAGATACATATGCAGAATGTGCAGATTTGTTACATAGGTATACCATGCCACGGTCATTTGCTGAACCCATGAACCTGTCATCAACATTAGGTATTTCTCCTCATGCTATCCCTCCCCTAACCCCCTCCCCCTGACATGCCCCGGTGTGTGATGTTCCCCTCTCTGTGTCCATGTGTTCTCACTGTTCAAGTCCCACTTATGTGTGAGTGTGCCATAGCTAACCCAGAGTTAGAACCTAAGCAATGCCATCTTAAACCCTGTACCCTGCAAGCACCAAGAAAAACGGTTTTTCCAAAAGTAAGTTGTAACTGCTGCCCCGTTTCCTTTGTGATAACTGCTTGCTGCCCGTTTTCCTTGCAATAACTGCTGACCTTGGCTTCTGTAAATAAAAACAGCTAGCTTGCTCTGCAAAATGCTGATTGAAAAGTAAGAGAAGAAAACATTTTCTCTTGTAATGTTTGACTTGTAGCTCTCCACCAGGGACCACTTAGAATTTCCCCTAATTCCAGGAAGCTTGCTATGTAAAGCTGCTTGCCTTTGCTTATTAGAAACTGCCAGAAATAGTTTCTGTAAAGTTGCTTGCCCTGCATCCCCTCACCCTCTTTTTCCTAAAACCAGGATGTGGTTTTTCAGCTTAAAAACCCTGCTCCGCCTGAGCTTGGGGCCACGGGTTGGAGAGATGTGAGTCCTCTGTGGCTGCCGGCAATAAAGACCCTGCAATTTGGCATACTTTTGTCTTGGTGTTGACTTTCTATGCTCGCTCCAGTACAGCATGAGAACATGTGGGATTTGGTTTTCTGTTCTTGTGTTAGTTTGTTGAGAATGACAGTTTCCAGCTTCATCCCTGTCCCTGCAAAGGACATGAACTCATCCTTTTTTATGGCCGCATAGTATTCCATGCTGTATATGCGCCACATTTGCTTTGTCCAGTCTATCATTGATGGACATTTGGATTGGTTTCAAGTCTTTGCTATTGTGAACAGTGCTGCAACAAACATGTGTGCATGTACCTTTATGGTAGAATTATTTATAATATTTTGGGTATATACCCAGTATTGGGACTGCTGAGTCAAATGGTATTTCTGGTTCTAGATCCTTGAGGAATCACCACACTGTCTTCCACAATGGCTGAACTAATTTACACTCCCACCAACAGTGTAAAAGCATTCCTATTTCTCCACATCCTCTCCAGCATCTGTTGTTTCCTGACTTTGTAATGATTGCCATTCTAACTGGCATGAGATGATATCTCATTTTGGTTTTGATTTGCATTTCTCTAATGACCAGTGATGATGAGCTTTTTTTCATAGGTTTGTAGGCCACATAAATTTCTTCTTTTGAGAAGTGTCTGTTCATATCCTTCACCCACTTTTTGAGGGGGGTGGTTTGTATTTTTCTTGTAAATTTGTTTATGTTCTTTGTAGATTCTGAATATTAGTCCTTTGTCAGATGGACAGATTGCAAAAATTTTCTCCCATTCTGTAGGTTGCCTGTTCACTCTGTTGACAGTTTCTTTTGCTGTGCAGAAGCTCTTAAGTTTAATTAGGTCCAATTTTTCAATTTTGGCTTTTGTTGCCTTTGCTTTTGGTGTTTTAGTCATGAAGTCTTTGCCCATGCCTATGTCCTGAATGGCATTGCCTAGGTTTTCTTCTCAGATTTTTATGGTTTTGGGTCTTATTTTTAAGTCTTTAATCCGTCTTGAGTTAATTTTTGTATAAGGTGTAAGGAAAAGGTCCAGTTTCAGTTTTCTGCATAAGGCTAGCCAGTTTTCTCAAAGCCATTTATTAAACAGGGAATCCTTTCCCCATTGCTTGTTTTTGTCAGGTTTGTCAAACATCAGATGGTTGTAGATGTGTGGTGTTATTTCTGAGGCCTCTGTTATGTTCCATTGGTCTATAAATCTGTTTTGGTACCATGCTATTTTGCTTACTATAGCCTTATAGTACAATTTGAGTCAGGTAACATGATGCCTCCAGCTTTATTCTTTTTGCTTAGGATTGTCCTGGCTGTACAGGCTCTTTTGGTTCCATACGAAATACTGTATAAAGTATTTTTTTCTAATTCTGTGAAGAAAGTCAGTGGTAGCTTGATGACGATAGCATTGAATCTATAAATTGGGCAATACGGCCATTTTAATAATATTGATTCATCCTATCCATGAGCATGGGATGTTTTTCCATGTGTTTGTGTCCTCTCTTATTTCCTTGAGCAGTGGTTTGTAGTTCTCCTTGAAGAGGTTCTTCACATTCCTTGTAAGTTGTTTTCCTGGGTGTTTGTTTCTCTTTGCAGCATTTGTGAATAGGGGTTTACTTATGATTTGGCTCTCAATGTAAATGGGCTAAATGCCCCAATTAAAAGACACAGACTGGCAAATTGCATAAAGGGTCAAGACCCATTGGTATGGGTTATTCAGGAAACCCATCTCATATGCAAAGACACACATAGACTCAAAATAAAGAGTTGGTGGAATATTTAACAAGTAAATGGAAAGAAGAAAAAAAAATAGGGGTTGCCATCCTAGTCTCTGATAAAACAGGTTTTAAACCAACAAAGATCAAAAAAGATAAAGGGCATTACATAATGGTAAAGGGATCAATGCAACAAGAAGACCTAACTATCCTAAATATATATGCACCCAATACAGGAGCACCCAGATTTATAAAGCAAGTTCTTAAAGACCTACAAAGAGACTTAGACTCCCACACAATAATAGTGGGAGATTTTAACACCCTGCTATCAATAGTAGACAGATCAACAAGACAGAAAATTAACAAGGAAATTCAGGACTTGAACTGAGCTCTGGACCAAGCTGACCTAATAGATATCTACAGAACTCTCCACCCCAAATCAACAGAATATATATTCTTCTCAGCACCACATGACACTTATTCTAAAACTGACCACATGATTAGAAGTACAACACTCTTCAACAAATGCAAAAGAATGGAAATCATAACCAACAGTCTCTCAGACCACAGTGCAATCAAATTAGAACTCAGGATTAAGAAACTCACTCAAAGCCACACAACTACATGGAAAGGGACAATCTGCTCCTGAATGACTCCTGGGTAAATAATGAAATTAAGGCAGAAATAAATAAGTTCTTTGAAACCAATGAGAACAAAGACACAATGTACCAGAATCTCTGTGACACAGCCAAAGCAGTGTTTAGACGGAAATTTATAGCACTAAATGCCCAACCAAGAAAGCAGGAAAGATCTAAAATTGACACCCTAACATCGCAATGAAAAGAACTAGAGAAGCAAGAGCAAACAAATTCAAAAGCTAGCAGAAGATAAGAAATAACTAAGATCAGAGCAGAACTGAAGGAAATCCAGACATGAAAAACCCTTCAAAAAATCAATGAACCCAGGAGCTGGTTTTTTGAAAAGATCAACAAAATATATAGACCACTAGCCAGACTAATAAAGAAGAAAAGAGAGAAGAATCAAATAGACACAATAAAAAATGATAAAGGGGATATCACCACTGATCCCACAGAAATACAAACTACCATCAGAGAATACTAGAAACACCTCTATGCAAATAAACTAGAAAATCTAGAAGAAATGAACGAATTTCTGTACACATACACCCTCCCAAGACTAAATCAGGAAGAAGTCAAATCCCTGAATAGACCAATAACAAGTTCTGAAACTGAGGCAGTAATAATAGCCTACCAACCAAAAAAAGCTCGGGACCAGATGGATTCAGAGCTGAATTCTACCAGAGATATGAAGGGGAGCTGGTACCATTCCTTCTGAAACTATACCAAACAATAGAAAAAGAGGGATTCCTCCCTAACTCATTTTATGAGGCCGGAATCATCCTGATACCAACATCTGGCAGAGACACAACAAAAAAAGAAAATTTCAGGCCAATATCCCTGATGAACATTGATGAGAAAATCCTCAATAAAATACTGGCAAATGAATCCAGCAGCACATCAAAAAGCTTATCCATCACAATCAAGTTGGCTTCATCCCTGGGATGTAAGTCTGGTTCAACATACACAAATCAATAAACATAATCCATCACATAAACAGAACCAATGACAAAACCACATGATTATCTCAATAGATGCAGAAAAGGTCTCCAAATAGGGAGATTATCTTGGATCAGACAGGTGGGCCTGGTGTAATGATAAGGGCACTATCAGGTGGAAGAAGGGGTTAATAAAGGAGATCCAGAGATACGGCAGTGCAAGAAGACGTTGCTAGTTTTGAAAATGGAAAAGAGCCCTGAGCCAAGGAATGTGGGTGACCTGCAGTAGCTGGAAAAGGCAAGGCAGTAGGTTCTCCCAAGAGCTTCCAGGAGTGCAGCTCTGCCAACACGTTGATGCTAGCCCAGGGAGACCCATTTTAGACTTTGGCCTCAAGAACTATAAGATAATCAAGGCTGGGTGCAGTGGCTCATGCCTGTAATTTCAGCACTTTGGGAGGCCAAGTCGGGTGGATCACCTGAGGTCACGAGTTCGAGACTAGCCTGGCCAACATGGTAAAACCCAATCTCTACTAAAAATACAAAAAATTAGCCAGGCATGGTGGTGGGAGCCTGTAATTTCAGCTACTTGTGTGGCTGAGGTGGGAGAATCACTTGAACCTGGGGGGTGGAGGTTGCAGTGGGTCAAGATTGTGCCACTGCACTCCAGCCTGGGTGACAGAGTGAGATTCTGTCTCCAAAAAAAAAAAAAAAGATAACCAACCAATAATCAGTTTGTATTGTTTAAAGCCACTAAGCATGTAGTAATTTGTCATAGTAGCAATGGAAAGCAAATGGCCTGCCCAAGCTAAACCAAATATGCAGCCCCCCCCACCACACACACACACTTCTCTGTCTTCTTGATCTTTGCTTACTTTTTCTACGCTTGTTGCTGACTGTTACTACAAACCCCATCCAAGGGGGCAAGACCTTAGGCTTTGTTCACGCACATACTCCCACGTCGGGAGCAACATCTGTCAGTGCAACGTTGCCAAGAGCAGTCCCTGAAAATTTGACCATTTGCTAAAGCTTTATTTTCAACTCTCTTTTGCCCCCTTAGATGACACTTTTATAAGTAAAGATGTGTTAAAATTAACCCAAGGGTGATTCCTGGGGAAAAATATATTATGATTTAATAACACATCACCTGAGGAACTGGAGTAAAAGGAAGAAGGTCATCCAGTCTTCCCAGGTAGTCTTTGTGGTAAAGAATGGATAATATATCACAGGAGTAGATAAAAGGAAAAAAAATCCAATGGAGACCGGATGGAACACGTTAGGAACTGAGTGTTGGTATACAAGTCTCACTCCTGTCTTTGA